GGGGGGGGGGGCGGACATGAACCACTCTTGTGTCGCATTTTTGATAAGGCTAAGATTACAGAGAAATGAGCACAGCCTAGATATGAAATATATGGTCATACAGTATGTTTGTATGTCAATATATATGTTCAATATACATAGACTAAGTCTATAATTACACCTTTTGTCACTCTAAAATTCGAGTGCTGCAGGCAATGCAAAACCTAAATTTATTTTCAGCCAGGCAATGAGTCATGCAACGAGCCACAGTCCAAAGTTCATTTTACAAAACGAGCAATGGGCAAAAAGCAAAGCAAAGCAAAGCAAATAAAGTCCGCAAAAAAGACTAATTTCAAGGCGCCAAAACGGGCATAGCTGTAATTTAGCGTGAAAAAACAGACAATACTTCAAGCAAGCCAGCAAAACTGCTAAAATCGCCAACAAAAATAGGTAGGAATATATATACATATGCATACATAAATTCCGCTGTATATTCTTTTTTTCTATTCAAGCCCTTTTCACGTTTTGTTTTTGCAGCTCTGCAACACGCATAAATGGCTGCATTGGCTCTTCTTGTAAGACAACATAATGACAAAAAGTAGTAGCTAATAGCAAATGCGCCATGCTGAAAAGGTAGTCTGCATAACACCCACCGCAGCGTATAGTGAAAAACGTAGTAGACTTGACTAGCATGTAAAACCTACTATACTAATGTGAGCTTGTGTGTGAATGCGCGTGTTTGTATGCTTATTTATAAACCTGTTGTCAAAAGACAACAACAACTAGTTGCTGTTTGCTGCTGTAAAGCTGCACTAAAAATTCCGATCTTCCAGTCGTTGTCGTCGCGCCGGCGCTCGGCTCCAATGGAGTGAGTTCCGTGTGCACAGCTCCGCGAGCGAGCGCGGCGGCTGCGCTCAAATAATAAAAACAGGTATAACTGTTTGCATTGGTGTGTGTGAGGGCGAGTGTGCGTGTGCATGCGAGTGTGAGTGTGAGTGGAGACTTTTAAGAGCTGGGAGCCAACTAACCAGCCAGCCAGCAACATCTTCAACGAAACAGCAGAGCAAAATGTACGATGTGATAACCATACGAAATGTACGAAGGTGAAACAGCAAAAAAGTAAAGCAGCAAAACACAGTAAAGAAGGCGAAACAACAACATTGAATGTCGACGCACCCTTTTCTTATTGTTTTGTTGTTGTTGCTTCTGTAGATTTTGAAGCGCAAAACCACATCCGAATTAACGTAGTCTCTTATACCTATGCAGATGGAAGCAGCAACAACAACAATGAATGCAAGTATGTGAAGAAGAGCGTTAAAAAAAAGAATGTAGAGTATAGCGGGTGGCGTCCGACATTCTCCACAAATAAAAAAGCAAAATAAGTAGGCAAAATGCCGACGCCGTTGGAATGCGTTGTTGTTTCAGTTGTTGTTGTTGYTAAGCCGGACATGGCAATTGTTGTTTGCTCTTGATAGGGGTACGCCAATAATAACCAATGCACTTAACGCTCAATTGGCAATAATTAAAAGCTGGAAATTACAACAACGAAAATTACAACTTACCTTTTATGACGTTTCGCCGCGATATTTAAATCCAAATTAGAACACGTCCAGGTAATCCCAGGCATAAATGAACACACAATTTTAAACCAGTAACACTACAAAAATTAGCAACAAATTTATTGCCACGCTTAATTAAATTAACGCAGCACTCAAATAACTTTTAACTTTGTTGCTGCACATTTTGACGCACAGATCACTAGGATCGAAGGCCAAGCCAAAGAATGGCTATGAAAGCACCTAAATGCTATACACAAAAAAACAATCACTTCGTTTTTCACTATTTTTTTTTTAATTTCGTACAATTTACGCATACACTTTACACTTGTTGCGTTGATCGTGGTGCAATTTTTTGCTTTTCTTGGAAATTCAACGAATTTGTCAAATGAACAAAGCGCGAAGCACGCGCGTTACACGTTTGAAAGCGACGACGTCTGAATTGGAACTCAATGCGAACGACAAAGCGAAACGCAATGCTGGCGGTGCGAATCAAAACACAAAGCAAAACGAATACTTATCGATACTTATCGAACGCACAACTGTTGCGTGCCGTTAAGTGATGATTGTAAAATGTTGGTATAAGACTAAACTCCTTAAACCTCTGATTTCACAAAACAAAAATATTAAATAAGATAATCATAATGTAAACTAAACAAATATTTTTATTTTAAAAATTTAATTACGTACGTTAACGTAACCACACGATGTCTATCGATGAGCCTGTAGCAAATACAGGCTACAATAATCGATATCAAACTTATCAAGACTTTAATAAAACACTGAAAACATAAACTTAATTAATGAAGAAGTATATAAAGAATAATTTAAAATAATTATTGATAATTAGAATAAACATTGCTATACAACAAACCAATAATTTTGCTATAACACACACAAACAAAACGGAAACTATCAAGAAAAACACAAACTATGCTTTAAAATGATTGAAATTAAAGCAAAATTAGTGCGTGCAGATTCAGCAATATATGCAACAGGCGAGTGCGTTGAATGTTTGATTGAATTCACGCACAAACTGTTTGGCGAGGAGCAGCAGCGAAATGCCAAAGCATCAACGTAAGAAATCAAATATTAAATAATTGGAAAAAGTTCAATTTGAATGGTTTATTTGTAGCGTAGAGAATTTGGCGTGGGCCTCGGTGCAGCTGCATTGCTATAGAAAAACCAGCTACAGCACACAGTCGGGCGACAAGACAGCAGAGCTGGCAGAACTCATAGGACGCACAGCATTGGATGCAGTCACCCAAACGCCAGGCGAGGTGATTGTAGCAACCAAGCCGAAGATTCTCTTCTGCGACCTCAAGCTGCAGCCAGGCGAGACGAAGATGTGTGGGTGGCCGTCAAGTTGGGCAATCAAAGTGACACCATTAAAGACTCCATTTCATTTGCAGACTTCTTCAATGAGTTTGTGCCGCGGGATGGGCCGCCCACATATCGCGGCCATGACATTCGCTACTTCTATAAGATCACGATTGCCACACAGCGTGTCAAGTCCAAGGTGCAAACGCTGACTGTGCCCATACGAGTGCTGCCCATTCCATTGATAGCTCGACCGGATGAGCTGCCCGTCACAGTGGAGACCAACGAGGAGCTAACGCCTACGAATCCATTTCTGGAGAAGCGCGAGATAAGCGAACTGGAAATATCGTGGCATCATTTAAAAGTACGGCTTATTCCTGCTAATTTAAATGAATCTAATTCCTCCTACTCCACTCACATATAGAATGTGACGGCTCGACGTGCTCCGAAGTTCTATCGGATCTCGAACAAGCGTGGATTCGTTGGTCGCTTCTGTCTGTTCAAGCCCGCCTATAAGCTGGGCGAGGATATTGTGGGCAGCCTGGATTTTGACAATTGTCAGGTGCGTTGTGTCCAGTTCTCGGTGAAGCTGCAGCAACAGGAACTGCCGCTGCGGCCGCAGCCGCAGCAGGCGCAACCAACTTCTGGCGACGATGTTGCTTCGCAGAGCTCCTTTGACATGGCAAGCATTGCCAGTGGCATAACCGTGGATAATCTGCACAAGTCGGAGACATCGGGCAGTGCACGCAACAAGGATGAGCCCAAGCCCATGGGCAAGCTGAGCACCATATCCACATCCCATCAGGTTGCTCTCTAGCTAAATCTCTCTCCATCTTATCCTAATCTTCTTTTTGTGAATTGCTTCCAGGTCTGCTATTCAACGCTGCAGACGCAGGTGGTTGTACCCATTCCACTGCACGTTACGCCCACATTTCGTACCGATCTGGTGGACGTGAAGTGGCGTCTCCATTTCGAGTTTGTAACCAGCACCATGATGGACTTTGGCGTACCGAATCCTCAGTCTGGAGAGCTAAAAGCGCCAGCTGAACTGCCTGTTGAGACAATGGTATGGAATTTACCTGTGACTATATATGCAGCAAATCCACTGCAGATTTATGCGCCAAATCAAACGTATAATCTCTTGATAAAATAATAATAATATTAATAATACAAAACTTTGTTGCAATAAATAGTTTGTACATTTAACAAAATTGCGCGCCGTGTTTTGAATAAAAACTATATGGCATCACTTCACTTCCATTGAGGAGTATGTTAATGCTATTAACAGTAACATCAAATGTTAAAATTCAATTTCCTTTAGATCTGAGGCCAAGAGAACATAATAATCTGTTAATTAAGCAACAGTTGCATTTAAGAGATGTAAACACCCAATACTTACAAAAAACAGGCAAGAGCACATCGATTCAAATGAATAAAAACTATATGGCAACTCTGTATAGTTAACATAAACGGCAATCAAATGCGTATGCTGTTAATAGCCGTATGACGAATTTGTAATATCGTAGTCTCTGTTAATTTGGTACTAAAAATAGTGTTGTCTAGCTCCAAACATACATAAAACAAATTTTTTTAACAAAAACACATACCCAGAAAATATAAATCAAGAAAGTTTGAGTATATCTACAAAGAAGCATGTATCAGGAATATCTAAATCAATTAAATTCAACGCTCTTTCCGATGAGCTCCGAAGAGCTGAAAGAGCTGCTCAACAACGATGACAAATTGGACGAAAAAGTCGATGAGGTGCTCGAATCGCTAAGGACACAAAAGGTTCGCTTCTGCGAGGAGAATCGCAATCGTGCCGAACAGAACATCGAGAAGGAGCCAAAGATTATTGAGCTGCGGGGCAAACTGGCCGAGCTCACCGAGGAGGGACGCACAAGGTGCAACGCCGTGCAGGAGCTGCTCACACAAATCAAGGAGAAAACCAGTGGCGTTTCCCAGGAGACGGCGCTGGCGCTGCTGCAGACGGCGGCGTCCGAGAGCGAGGAGCAAACGGAGGAGATCGTCAAGAAGTTCACCAGCAACGAGCTCAACGTGGATGCCTTCGTTGAAGAGTTTCTCCGCAGTCGWCGCACCATGCACCTGCGCAAGCTGAAGGCCGAAAAGATGCAGGAGCTGATCCGCAAACAGACACAGCGGCACAGCACGAGCGGACCGGGCGGCGGTGTACCCGCCTATGCCAATGTGCCGGGCACAGCCGGCGGCATTGGCAGTTTCTACCCGCCCTCTCAGATGGGCGTGCCGTATCCTGTTATGGGCCCAATGATGCCCATGCCGCCGCCATCAAGACCCTATTGAGCCAGAGCGAGGATCTAGTTTATAATTTCAATAAAAACCCATACGCAGTTCGAAGATGCTGCCATCACAATCGCGGATGACTCATCCGAGTGCTTTGTTTACATTTTACGTGTTAAATTTATACATAGAGAACAAGGAACAGTAGCTTAGCTAAGTTTTAATAAAGCGACACCCTCTTCGAGTTAAAAATCCTTCATGGTTTTCTAGTTTATTGTTTAAAATTGTTTCAAGTATTAAATCTTTAAGTACATTCAGCTGATTCACAATTTTCTCTCATTTTCACTGTTTAAACTAAAAGACTATCAAATATAATTAATGCGTAAATTAAACGAACCGAATTAATTACAAATTAATAAGAAACTTTTGAGTGTGTATTAAACAGAATAGAAAATACATATTAATTAGACAATAATTTATAAAGCGATAAACAATTACTCGCATCAATTTCTAATTTAGATCTTAGTTTAAATGAAGCCAAGGGCTAGGAGGCATGTGGATTAGAGGCTTAGTATAATGAATGGAAAGGATTTTTAGGAAGGATTGTGCACATGCTTAATATATAAATATATATATTTGGATGTGTATAAGACATAACAGTCCATTAGGCAATTGGGCACGCCCACACTTAAGCCAAAGGGAACTGGAAGCAACCA